TCTCTGTGTCTCTGTGTCTCTATCTCCCTCCCTCTCTCTGTCTCTCTCTCTCTGTCTGTCTCTCTCTGTCTCTCTGTCTCTCTGTCTCTCTGTCTCTCTGTCTCTCTCTCAGTACTCACTGCTTTTGATGTCTGACTGGTCTGGTGCCTCCACTGACCTGTCTGCAAATGTGGGGGCTCCCCCAAGATCTCTGTCACCACCCCCCCACCCACCCCCATCCCAGCAGCCTGTAGAGCCTCCTGGAAGGACCTGGGGCTGTGTATGCAGACAGCAGGGCTTGGGGGCTGAGCAGGGAGGGTGTGCTGCAGAGGGTTGGGGGGAGCAGCCCCTACCAGCTGACTTGTCCGGGCAGGGAGCAGGATGGAAACTCTGCCCCTTTGGGAGAACGCGCTCGCTGGGCCCAGTTTGTGGGCTGGTCTGTCAGAGCTGGTTAGGTGCCCTTTGACAGATGGAGCTATTAACATGTCATCAGGTGCATTCTGACAAATTCAGGGCTTGTCTGCCACCAACCTGAGAGGGGGGGTCCCTCCAGAAGGCGCCAATGGAGGTTAAATATTATTAACAAATAAAGACAGCACATAGTTAAGCTGGAATGCGAGTTGGTGGGGAGGGGGTGAGGGGCTGGGGGGAGGGTTAACTATTTAATGCCTTGGCTGGTCCAGACTGGGGAGCCCAGCCTGGGGCGGGGGCCGGGGACAAAGGGCTCTGGGGCGAGTGGCTCCAGCGGCGCCTGGGACTCCCTGGGAGCCTGATACCCATCAACTCCAGCAGGCAGCCCTCTCCTCGTTAATCAAAGTGCCAGCAGCCAGTGATTGGGCCAGGCTGCTTAGGGGCTCCAGCCAGCAGCGGGCCGGGGCCCAGGAGCAGACTGGGGCTCCCGAGACAGAGCGGTGGATGACCCCTCCCCCTTGATGGAAAGGCTCTCAGGAAAAGGAGTATTTATTTCGTGAGAGAGAGAGGGAGAGGGAGGCAGAGAGTCCCGGGCTTGGAAGGGAGAACCACTTGTAGGGTGAGACCAGAGGAGAGGAGAGGAGAGGAAGGCTCCCTGGCACCGGCCCAGCCCAACCCAGCCCGACCCAGCCAGCCTCGGGGCACACGGCTGAGAAGGAAGGCACCCTTCTTTTGGTTTGCTCTTGGAGCGTGAACATGAGTCTGGAGACTGATTCTGCCTCCTGACAGCCGGAGCAGGCGGCAAGGAGAGCCCTCCCAGAACGACTGCCCTGCTCCCTGCGAGGCGGGTGTGGGGGCCTGACTGAGCACTTCTCTGGCCCCTCTTTGGAGGCCCTGACATCTGGCCTGGGTTGTGAGCAAGCGGAGAGGAGGAGGATGGGGCAGCAGCGACAACCGCAGCATCAGGAGGGGCCTGGGGGTCTCCCTGGGGCCCTATGAAGGACAGCAGCCAGGCAGGGCAGAAGGAACCCAGCCCAGCCCCACCCCCTGGGGAGCCTTCCTGAGCAGGTGCCCAACTGCCTTACACTTTGGCTCCTCCAGACTTTGAGAGAGTCAGTCCCACTGAAGGGAAGACCCACTCCCCTGGCCCATGGGGCTTGGCCCCCCTCCTGCCTTCTCCTGGCCCCTCTTACCAGCACAGTGAGCTTGTCTCTGTCAGGCTCCGGGGCCCCCAGGTGCCCATACTCATGAGAACCCAGGGGCTTTGGGGAAAGGGATACTGAACCTTGAACCAGAAAGCTGGGATCACCAGCTTAGTGTCCTTGAACACCTGCCTGGCCAGGGCCCTCGAACTCTGTGCCCAGAGACTCCATCCTTCAGCTCACTGCCTTTGGACCGGACTCTTGGCTCCCTGCCATCTTCTCTGGGCCCAAAGTCCCTAGCCCTGACCTTCTGAGCCCAGAGCCCATCTGCCTGCTCCCACCCCTCTGGGAGTGTGTCTGTCCATCCGTCTGTCTGCAGACCTGGGCTGCCTGCCCTGCCCCTGACCCCAACATGAGGCTGTGGGTCTGGGCTGTGGCCATAGCTCTCCTATGGCAGCACCTGGCCCTCCTCAGGGGCATCAGCGCCAAGAGGGAACGCAAGAAGGCCAAGGAGATGATGCAGTACACGGAGCCCTTCAATGCCACCGTCTCCAACAGCGAGGAACTGCCTGGGCACCCCAAGGTACACACTCTGATGGGGTGGGTGGGGCTAGGCGAGAGGGGGGCCCAGCTAGGGACTCCCTCCACCCCCTGGGTGATGAGTCACAGGCGGTCACTCCATCCATGTACCATGTATGTATGTGTGCATCTGCGTAGACATGAGTCTGTGTTTGGGTGTGTGGCTGTGTCCACCCACGTGGACAGGGTCTCTGCCCCGGGGAACTCCTTTCTCTCATGTTCGCAGCCTGGGTCCAGTGGGGATGCTTGTGGCCACTGCCGTTGGCATCTCCTCCAAGCCTCACCTTCTCTGAGGCTGGGGCTGCCTTGGGGCTGAGAGCATGGAGTATTCATGGTAATGGGATGCTAGGGAAGGGAAGCCATGAGCAGCCCAGACCCTCAGAGCCTCTCCCAGTGACCCCTGGCAAGCCTCCTTGAGATGCTTTCTTGCTGTCTGTCACCGCCTCTGGACCCATCTTTCTCTCCCTCTCTCTGTCACTCTCCCCACTTCTCTGTCATACTCTGTTACTGTCGGTGTCTGTCCCTCTGTCTTCACTTGTTTCTGTTTCTATGTCTGTCTCTCTCTCTCTGTCTCTGTTTCTTTGCTGTCTTCTCCCTCCGTGTTGCTGTTAGCGCCTGTCCTTCTGTCTCCATCCATGCTTGTCTGTCTGTCTCCGAGGCTGGTCAGTGTCTGTCTCCCTGTCTGTCTCTGGGTCTCTCTCTATCACCCTGGCTGCCTATCTCTCCATGCTCAAAGGCAGTTTGTTTCTTCAAGGAGGTTGACCACATGGCCATCTTTGATGGAGACTGTGGGTTGGTTTTGGTCACTGAAGATGGGGGGGACAGTGGAGGAGTTTGGGGGAGTGAGAACTAGTCCCAGTGCCAGGGAGAACCTACCCTCAATCCAGCCATCTGGCCACTCACCCATCCATCCATTCATTCTAAAGCCTGAGGCAGGAGAGTCGAGGGGCATCTGGATCTGAAAAGGCTCCAGAGTGGAGCCCCCCTCTTTTCCCTACCCTTGGTCCAAGGGGAGGCTGCAGGACAGGGAAGGGGCCAGGGAGTGTAGGGGTGCCAGCCGCCCTATGGAGCTAAGTCTTGATGAAAGGGGAGGTGGGGTCTGGACCTCAGCCAGGACTCGGGGGTTCCCAACGGCACATCAATTAACGCTTTGAAGCCCAGATCATTTGGATGATCGCCTCGGTGGGGTTGAGGCCCATTAACTTTAATTGGTTTCCCAGCTCCCCAGGGGGGTGGCCCAGGTGAGAGGCTCCCCCTAGTAATAACCCCCAGCCTAAAAAGAAGGGTCAGAAGAGGTGCTTTAGGAGCCAGATGCCGGCAGGAAGGAAGCTTCGGTCTGGATACCTGGGATTTCCCACTGCTGCTCCCTAGGGATGCCCGGGCAGAAGCTCCCTGCCTCCCTGTGGTACCCATCACCACCAAGTCCTAGCCGGCATCAGGGAACCCAGCATCACTGGCTGTCCATTCCACTAGGCTGGGGGAGTGTAGGGGACCCGAGGCTGGAGCGGATCCTAGCTCTCTTGACCGGCATCTGCCCTCCAGCCCTGACCTGAGCCCTCGATCTCTGCCAGAAGGTCACCGGATTCTGGTGTCTGCCTCTGTCGGACCAGGGTCATCCCCTGGGGAGGACCCCTTGGGGGGCTGGTTGAGAGAGCCAGCATTTAGGATGAGAGTCACAGGAACATTCAGAAAGTGCCCTCTATGCTTGAGGCTCTGTGCTCTTAGTAGAGATGCAGGGATGGATCCTGCCCTCAAGAAGCTTATGACTTCATCGGTGTGTGTGTGTGTGTGTGTGTGTGTGTGAGTGAGTGTGTGTGTGTGCACGTGAGTGTGAGTGTGTGAGAATGTGAGTGTGAGTGTGTGCATGTGTGTGAGTGTGTGTATGTGTGAGTGTGTATGTGTGTGAGCGTGAGTGTGTGTGTGAGTGTGAGTGTGTATGTGTGTGAGTGTGAGTGTGTGCATGTGAGTGTGGGTGTGTGAGTGTGCATATGTGTGTGTGTGAGTGTAAGTGTGAGTGAGTGTGTGTATGTGAGTGTGTGTGTGAGTGTGAGTGTGTGTGTGTGTATGTGTGTGTCCAGCACCCCCCCCCATTTTATATAAGAGTAAACTGAGGCCCAGAGAGGTCATACAATGATAGATTTAGATTTGGAAGGGACCTTAGAGGTCGTCAGATCTAACCCCCTTAACTGTACAGGGGAGGAAATCTAGACCAAGAAAAAGTAAGTAACTTGCCCTGGGTCACACAGGTAGGATTTGAACCCAGGATATCTGTACTCCAAGGCTTGTAGTATTCACTATCCCACACTGCTTCTCAGGGTCAGCCGTACTCCTCCATCCACAAGGGAGGAAGCAAGGGGGCCAGAGGAGAGTTTGTGACAGAGAATCTGGCAAAGCCCAAGGAGGGAGAGATCACTCTGTGCTGGGGAGAGCAGGAAAGGCTTCCTGGAGGAGGTAGCACCTAAGAAAGAAAGGAAGACTTTCAGCCCAGAGTTGTTCCCTGGTGTACTTAATCCTTCCCTCCCTCCCCCTTTCCTCCTCCTTCCCTGCCCTCCTTTTCTCCCCCTCCCTCCCCCTTCCCCCTTCCCCTTCCCTCTTCTCTCTCCTTTGTTTCCTTTCCTCCTTTCCCCTTCCCTCCTCCCCCTCCCTCCGTCCCTCCCCACTCCCTTCCCCTTTCTTTCCCTTCCCTCCCATCCCTAATAATATCAGTTGATGTTCATAGGGTATTTTAAGATTTGCAAAATGCTTCACGTGCATGATGTGCATCGAGACAGTAAAGCGCTGTGGATAGTTGGGGAGCCCCATATTTCAGAGTCAGGAGGCCCTGGGTTTGAATTCTGCCTCAGACACCCACTTTGTGGCCCTGGGCACATTCTTTTCTGAGCCTTTCTGAGCCTCAGCTCTATACGAATGAGGGTGGTCCCAGCACCTCTGTGCAAGGGGGATTGTGAGGCTCGGATGAATGATGATGGTTGGACTTTCACAATCCTCGTCCAACTGCTGTCTGCAGGTCAACCATTATTCCTACATCTCCTATGAGCCTCAGGGCAACCTCATGAGGGAAGGGCTATGATAAGCCCCATTTTGCAGATGAGAAAACTGAGGCTCAGAGAAGCCCAGTGGCTTGTCCAGAGTTGCCCAGCCCTCCGTGCTTCCTGGCAGGCCGAGGTGGCCAGCCTAGTCCGGAGTTCCGGGCCGACGTCCAGACCAGCACGTCCTGGTCTTCTCGGTCCTGATGCACAGCCCGGCAGCCTCTGCCTGCTTGTCTGGAGGCTGGCCCGCTGAGGAGGGGCTTCCAGGGCCCTGGGTATATTTCCAGACTTGGGGTGTGTGTGTGTGCGCGTGTGCACGCAGGCTTGCATGCTGGAGACAGGTCGTTCCAGCCTCGGCAGCCTCGCCTGGCGGGCCTTTTTCATCTCCCCACTACATCACTGACGCTATCTACCCCTCCATCTTCCAGCCTCCAGGGCCCATGTGGGACTGGGTGTGCCCTGGCACGGACGGACTGGGCCTGCTGGGGTCCCATTTCAAAGATGGGGAAGGCTGAGGGAGGGTCATGGGGACCCCTTGGGCCTCCTGGTCCTATGGGTCACGACTGGTTGCCTGGGAATGAACCCCCTGCCCCATCCAAGGGCAATCCAAGTGTAAAGCAGAGGGGAGAGGAGATCTGGGGGTGGGGGAGAGGTCTGGGGTGTGGGAGGAGCATAGCGTGTCAGAGGCTGGCTGGCTGCTGTCCTGGGATGCCCATCACACCAGGGGCATGTGGCCCTCTGGTGGGCCTGCCACCGAGGGGGCGTGTGACATCCTGGGGTCCTCACGGATTCAGGGCATGGGCTACACCGTAACCAGGCCAGGGAAGAGATGAAGAGCCGGGGTTCTGCCTGGCTCACCCAGGCAGCTCCTCCCTCCCTCCCTGGCATCCCCCCTTGCCCCCTAATGTACTCACTCCTCAGGGCTGCCTCAGGCTCAGTGAATGGCAGGGCCCAGGAAGGGAAAGCTGGCAGGCCCACGCTGATGGCCTCCCCCAGGCCCCAGGCTCCTCGCTGGGCCTTTGGCACAATTCCAATCTCTAAGCTGGAGCTGGGACTCCTGACCTAGCCCCGGAGTCCGCTGCCCTGGGCTTAGGAGCTTCACAGATATTGTGAATTCTTGGGCTCCTGAGGCCCAAAGTCATTATCCCATTGGCTCTGGGTACCTTGATTTACCCATCCAGGAAATGGAGCTGCCTCCTGGGGCATGGTTTGGCTGTATGGACTCTCTCTTTGGGCCAGTAACCAGGCCGTGGGTCATCCACCTTCCTCTCTATTCCCCTTCCAAATATGGCAGGAAGCAGGAAGATGGTCTGGGGAAGGACCTGATCTTCATCCAGAGACCTTGGAGGCTGTAGGACCTTTGGCTCATAGGTAGACCCCCAGGCCACCGAGGCCCAACCCTTCATATTTTAGAGGAGAAAACTGAGGTGCAGAAAAATTAAGTGCATTGTCCCAAGGCACGCAGGTGGTAAGTGGCGGGGTGGGCCTTAACCCAAGACCTTCAACTCTAAATCAGTGTTCTTTCCACTGTACCCCCACACTCCCTGCTACAATATAGGATTACCATAGGAACATTTTGATATAGAAGATACCTTCATTTTTCAGCTGGGGAAACTGAGGCCCACTAGGGAAGCGATTTGTCCAAAGAACCAGGACTCACACCCAGGGCCTCTGACTCCAGATCTGAGATACTGTCTGTGAGATATGGTCACATTCTGGCCCAGGCTTTTTTGTCCCCAGGTCACAGGGGCCTCCCTGTTCAATCAGCATGTCATAACTGTCTTCTGCTTCTGGGTTTCCTTTCTTACTTGGGAGACTGGAATGAACACTGACTCCAGAGTCTGAGGACCCAGGACTCAGTCCTGCTTCTGACATTTGCTACTTGTATGACCTTAGCTAAGTTGCTTCCCTTCTGTGGGCCTCAGTTTCCTCATCTGTCAAAGGAGACGGCCTCTCAGGCCCCATGATCCTCTGTGGGCCTGAGGTGGGCCTTGGTATCCCAAGGGAACAGGGGAGGATAAGGGAAAGCAAGAGTCAGTGCTGATTTTCCCAGAGAAGTGAGATTCTCCTGGTACTGGGGGACTCAGACTCCAGGCCCCGCACCCCCATTTCCTTTGTCTCCACCCTTGGAAGAAGACTGGATGGAGGCGTTGTGGCCCCGGTCAGGGGCTCCTGTTGGGTGGGCTCTGGATTCGCCATCCCTCCCAGGGGCTGCAGGGATCCCTCCAGCCCACAGAAGAATGGGCCCATTGACCTGGGCTCCCAGAGATTCCTTCCCCCTGACTCCCAGGGCCGGAGGGAGCCTGCCCTTGACGGCTTTCCCTTTAACACTAATTACATAATTAGGCCTGACTCGGGATGCTGGCTCCCTGCTGCCTCCTGGGCCGATGAAGCTCAGTGCCCAACGGGGAGGGGCGAGGTTTTCCAGGGACCCAGACTGGGGGCCCACAGTGGGGCAGATGCTGGGTCAAACAGTCACTGACGTGGGCTTCCTTCTCTCCCGCTGAAGAGGGAGACTGAGGCTCCCAAACCTTTGCTGCAGACATTTTAATGTTTTTTTTCCCCCTCAAACTTCCAGTAAGAAAATGGGAGAGGGTCAGGATCAGCTGAGGTCATGATAACTCACCTAGGTGGTGATTTATGAGATGCTGGGGGTGGTGGGCTGAAAGCCAGGAGAGAGAGTCTGTGGAGTGATGGGGGGATGGAAGTCAAGGCCCCATGGTGGCTACAGGGAACGGGGGTGTTGGGAGGTACTGCGGGATAGTGAGTAGTAATGAGTCAGTGGGCATGACAAGTGTAGGGGAAATGATTCTACTCACCCAAGATTGAGTCAATGTGCCAGGCATGGTGCTAAGCTCTAAGGAAATAGTCCCTGCCCTCAAGGAAGTTCCACTTGACTGGAGGCTTGGGAGTGATCAGGCCAGACACAATGAAATGTGAACGGCAGCACAGTGTGGTGGATGGAGTGTTGGATTTGACGTCAGGAAGAGTTGAACTGGGTTCGAATCCTGCCTTGGATAAGGCTCCTTAGACAGGTAACTTGTCTAAGGTCATACAAGTAGTATCCACTTACTAGCTGTGTTATTTGGGGTCTCAGTTTCCCCATCTGCAAAAATGAAAGGGTTGAACTTTATGACCTCAAAGGTCCCTTCTGGCTTGTAATCGATGAGCCTAAGTAGGTATTAAAAAAAATAAAAGGCAAAAGAAATACGTGCAAAGGAAATTTGGCAGGTGGAGGGAGAGCACCGAGGCTATATTGGGAAGGATTTCTTGGGGGAGGTGGCTCTTAAGCCAAGCCTTGAAGGGAGCTTAGGGTTCCAAGAGGTAGAGGTCAGGAAGGACAGCATTCTAGGCATGGGGCACAGCCTGGGCAAAGGCATGGAAGTGGGAAATGATAGGGATGGAGTACAGAAATGCTCGTGGGAGTGAGGGAGTCAAGGTCATGATGGCAGTAAGTGAGGATGGGGATAGTGAAGGTTAGGCCAGGGGCAGCGAGGGTAACAGGGGTAAGGGTGAGGGGATGGTGGAGAGGGAGCCTGATGGGAATGGGGTGATTGAGAGGGAAGATGTGCTTCTCCGCACCTTCCACCAGCCTCTGAATTCCCATGGACCCAGGGGCCGGGAGCCGGGGTTGGCGGGAATCAGACTCCCTCCTTCAGTGGTTCTGAGCTCCTGGCCAGCAGTCCAGCGTCTGTTAAGCTCATGGTCCTGTTTTATGGGCTTCCTGTTCCAGGCACAAGGGCCGAATTCCTCATCCACACCCATCACCTTCCCCGGCGAGATTGGGGGGAGGATAGGGGAGGGTGGGTGGGGCTGGGCTGGGGGTGGGGTGGGGGAATGACAGCCGGCATTGCTCAGATGTGATACATTCTTTCCCGGCCCCCTCCCGGCCCCAACACCTCATTCTCTACCCTGGATGAAAAGTCTCAGCCTTTGATTGGATCTGATGGAAATTTGGCCACCATATTGTGGGTGGATTGAGACAGGGTAGGGGAGAGGAAGGGCCAAGAGAGGGAGAGCCCCAGACAGCGGGGGCCCTAAGCCTGCTCCTGTCCCCCAGCTCCCACAGGGTCCATGGGAACCTTGTACACGAGGCCTGAGAGAGGCCATCGTCCGTGTCCCCTCGCTCTCTGCCTGTACCAGCGTATCGGATCGGGAAGTGGTGGGACCCCTTCCTGGCAGGTAGCTAGAGAAAGGGCAGGCCAGTCTGGTGATGCAGAAGGAACCTGGGATTAGAAATCAGAGGAGCTGGATTCTAATTCAGGCACTGCTATATGAAAGGAGAGGAATGGATTGGATGACCTTAGAGGTCCCTTCTAGCCCTCCATCCGTGACCCTAGAACGGGCCTTGGGTGCCCGGGAGAAGCCTCCTGGCCCAGCCCGGGTGTGAGGCTGGGAGCCTGCCAGCCCCCTCAGTCATCACAGAGGGAGTAAGGCGTCAGCAACTCCTGGCACGGGGCCAAGTGGGAACCATTTGCCTGCCTTTGAAACATCTGGCCCCTCAGGCGTCCCCTCTGCCCACATTCCCCCCCATGCCAGGCCTGGCTCTGTCTGGGCAGTCACCGAGGCCCAGAGCTGATTGTGAAATGCCTTCCCGTTTCCCAGCTCCCATTCTGACCTCCCTCCCATCCTACCCTTCCCCTAACTCTGTCTCTGGCTTTGAGAAGTCACGGCAAAACACCTGGAAAAAGTCCGTTCTGAATGTTGCCTGCCTGCCCCACTCTCCTCTCCCTGCTCCTGGCCAAACCCTGGCCTGGCCAGAGAGAAATCCCTGCTGGGACCCAAACACGAGCCTGTTTCTGCTCCCTTGGCCAGCTTTCCTCATATGAGGGGGGTAGATGAGCAGGGTGTATGTGTGGCGTGGAGTCTGGCCCCACTAGGACATGTCGGGGCAAACTTGGGGGTGGATGGAGGACCTCTGACCTCTGACCCATCCTGGATGGGTCACTGCTCTCTTTAAGTGACAGAGATTCTGTATCTGGGCCTGGGGTTCTTCCCGTCCATGAAATCCCAGGTATAGATCAAAAGGGGAAAACCCCAGACAAACGTGCATGTGTCTCTGTGTCCCCGTGTCCCCATAGGTAGGAGAATACATTTTTCTGTGCCCCTCCCATCTCCCAATGGGAGGATGTTGTATTTTTTACCTTAACATTTAATTAATTTTTAATTTATTTAGTTATTTGTATAAATTTTTAAATTTTTTATTTTAACCCTTTTAACTTTAATTTTTATTCTTTATATTTTAAAACTTTTTTTTTAAGATTTTGAGTTCCAAATTCTCTTCCCCCCCACCTACCCCCTCCCCAACCCATTGAGAAGGCAAGCAATGTGATAACAGGAACAAGGCAGCATGTTGTCTGGTGACTCTGGTGTGGTCACAGGCTCGCCAGTGATGTAGGCGAGAGCCTAGATTTGGAGTCAGGAAGTTCAAACCTGCTTCAGATACTTAGCTGTGTGACCCTGGGCAAGTCATTTCACTTCTGCCTCAGCTTCCTTTCTGTAAAATGGGGATAATGTTAGCACCGACCTCCTAGGGTTGTTTGGAGGATCAAATGAGTTGATATTTGTAAAGCTCTTTGCAAATCTTAAAATAGGATAGACATTGTATCTGTTAGCTGGGGCCTTTGGAGGCTACCTGCTTCAACAACCTCCTTTAATAGGAAATTAAAGCCCAGGAGGATCAGCTCAGGGTCTTTGATACTTCTCACCATACAGGGCACTGGGGGCTACCAGGACAATGAAGAATGGTCCCTGCCCTCAGGAACCTTACATTTTACCGGGAGCTCCAGGGATCTCGAGCCCGAGGCCGTGCTGCTTGCTTGGCACATCCCTCCCCTATACTGTAGGAAGTCACTCTGCCTGGACCATTCCTGTATGCAGCTGACCCCCCATGCTCCGGGAGCCCCAGAATCCTAGCACCCAGCTAGCTCCAGGCTCTACCCACCTGACTGCAGTCCCTGTCCTGGCTCTGGCCTTGGCCAGCTGGGAGCCAGGACTCCTGGGTTTTCTGGGAGTTGTTAGGCCTTAATAAATGACAGAGGTGGGGGTAGTTGGGTCCCCCAGAAAGAGGAGACACTGCTCCCCCCTTCTCCGTTCCCAGCTGGTCACCCCTTCACTGTGTCTGCCCCAAGCCTGGTGTGCTGTGGATTTCTTGCTGCTGTTGGGTTCTCCTGGGTCTATCACGTCTGTCTGTGGTCCAGGAGTCAGGGTCTGAGGCCAGCCTCTCGGACCCCCGTGGGAGGACTGGAGGGCAATGGGAGGGGCAGAGGGGGACGGTCTCATTCTCCCCTGGTAAGAACCCCTCCAGGGATCCCCGGGTGGAGGCTGAGGCCGTGTGTCTCTGTGGTTATTGGTTCTCCAGCCTCCAGAGGCTCCAGGTCCCGAGCTCACAGATGCCCACAAGACTTGGCTGAACTTTGTCCGGAGGCCAGATGATGTAACCCCCAGGAAGAAATGCAAGGGGAAAGATAAGAGATTAGTAAGTCATCCAGATCCAGGCTGAGCTGGGGGTGGGCTGGGTGAGGAGCTCCTAGGCCCGGGAGAGGGGCCAGCAGGGAGGGGCCGCTGTTCTGGGAAGAGGGACAGGGGCCTGCTTCTGCCCAGACCTTGATTTTCACCGTCTCCTTTGTCTGCTTTAAGCGTGGCCTCGTGGGCCCCCCAGGGCCCCCAGGGCCTGCTGGTCCCCCAGGCCCCCCAGGGGCTGAAGTTACCCAGGAAGCCCTATTGCAGGAGTTCAAGGACATGCTGAAAGGTGAGAAAGGGCCCTGCCCTGAACTGACCTCTGAGTCCCTGACTCTGGCCCCAGATTTCCCCCAGACCTTGGCCTTGGAACTGACCCCCAGCCACAGGTTGACCTTGACCCAGGGCTTAGAACTGACTGACCTTAGATTCTAGACCCAGCTGATTCTCACCTTGACCTTGATCGATCTTGTCCACCCAACCATTCACTTGCAGCATCTATTAAACACCTACTGTGTGTGATATAAATATATAAGAACATTTTACATGTCGAGAATATATTAAATATAAGTATGTAAAAGGCACAAATGTATGCAGAATTCATATAAAGTGAATACAAAGGAATTTGGGGGTCAGGGAGGAGCAGTAACAATTGGGGGATCCGGAAGGCCTCCCGTGTAGGAGGGCAGCCCTGAGCCGGCCTACAGAGATGGTGGGGAGTGAGTCAAGTTGACGCTGACCTTGGCCCAGGGAAGAGGCTGGACAGTGAGAAGCCCCAGGGCCATGTTGGGAATGGAACGCCATTGGGGAGTCGGGGAGGAGGCGACCCGGGGTGAATCTGGGCTCTCTCTGAGCAGTGTTCCCCACAGAGGCCACAGAGCGCCGGGCAGCCACGGCGGCTTTGGCCCAGCCGAGCCAACGGCCCCTAGACTCCTTGGTGGCCCCCTATAGGCGGGTGGAAGAAGCTTTCCATTGCAAGCTGAAAGCCCAGCTGGTCATTGACAAGAAGACCCTGATGGAGCTACACAACTTCCAGGCGGTGAGCCCGGGGGGCCCTTCCGGCCCTCTCCCTTTCCCTTCCCACGTCTGGGCAAGAACACTGAGGACTGGGATACCCTCTTCATCGTTTAGTTGAGAGAGCTGGCACTAAGACCTCAGTTCAAATCCAGCCTTGCCCTTTCCTAGCTACGTGACCCTCGGGTGAGTCACTTACTCGCTCACAGCCTCAGTTTCCTCGTCTGTAAAATGGGTTCATAGTGTCTCCCAGGAGTGTTGTGGGGCTCAGTTGAGATGATGTATGCGAGGTGCCTTTTGTGGCCTCAAGGTGCTTGATAAATGTTAGTGATTATGTAATTGAGAGGAAGCAGGGTATAGCCCAGTGAGCACTGGCCCCGGAGTCAGAGGGTCTGAGTTCAAATCTCACCTTTAACGCTAATTTTGTGACCTCGGACAAATCTCTTGATCTCTCGTTGCCTCGAGGGAGCTCTCAGAAGATGGTTTGGGGTCATCTGGGATACCTCATCCGCCTCCTAGAAGAACCTAAAATGATTTTGTCTGTGAGATCAGCCGTACCCAGAGGCGCGCACGCGCACACACACACACACGCACAGGAACACACAACCCCAAACCCCAAAGACAGGAAGCCAGTGCCTGGGGCATGAAGAGACAGGAATGCTTTATCTGGAATCATTTTCTGGTGCCTGCAGTTTCCCTCCTCTCCAGCCAGTAGTTTGGAATTAAGTTGCTACTTCTATTAATGTAATTGCTTTAATGGGGGAGAGGGAGGTGAGCCCTTTTCTGTTGGACTCAAAGATAGCAGAGATGCCAGAGGAGGGAGAAGGGTGCTGCGGAGGGTGGGAGGAAGATTGATGGGGCCAGTCTTTCCTCCCCTGCCCTCCTCTCACCCCCAGGGGACGTGGAATTAGAGGATCTGTAGATGAATCCTGGCTTTACCATTCCCCCCTTTTGTAACCTTACCTTCATCTCCATGGCCTCAGTTTCCTCATCTGTAAAATGGACTAAATGCCCTTGGATTTAGTTCTTTTCCAGATATAACTTTGTGATTGTAAAGCCCAGGGCAGAGCCAGTCTAGGGGAGAGTAGGGTCAGGCAGGCAGCCTGGGGACCAGCTGGGAGCCAAGGGTTCCAGGGGGAGTACAATTGGTAGGAATCACAGGAAGGATATCAGAGAGGATGGTCTCTGATTGTGGTGGTTCACTTGTTTTTGGTTATGTTCAACTCTTTGTGACCCTGTTTGAGGTTTTCTTGGCAAAGATACTGGAGTGGTTTTCCATTTTCTTCTCCAACTCATTTTGCAGATGAGGAAACTGAGGCAAACAGGATGAAGGGATTTGCCCAGGGTCTGGTAGGGGTCTGAGGCTTGGATGTGAACTCAGGAAGATGAGTCTTCCTGACTCCAGTCCCGGCCACTCTGTCCATTCCCTCTGGTGGGGAATTGGCTATTCCTTCTCTCTCTGGCTGGCTTCCCCTCCTCCTCTCACTCTGGAAACATGGAGGAGCAGGGGTGGACAGACTCAGCTATGATAGAGCATGGCCAGAGCTCTCCAGAGATCCCAGGGAGCTCATGGAGAAGGCAGGATGGGAAAAATAGGGCCTGTTATAGACCAACAGCCATAGAATCCTAAATTTGAAGCCAAAACAAACATTCGAGGTCATCTAGGCCAACCCCCTGATTTTACAGATAGGGAAACCGAGGCCAGAGAACTCGCCAGGATCTCACAATAAATGACAGATCAGACTTTTCCAAATGGCCTGGAACCATCCCTGTGGCTCAGTTTACCATTTGTGATCTGTCCTTCGTGTTCCCTAGACTTGGGGAGGGGGCAGAAGCTTGGAGTGGTTTTCCAGGACTCTCTCCACCACTAACTCAAGGTTCCTTTCTCATAGCCCCTGGCCAAGGGGGCCTTCCTGAGGGGATCAGGCCTGAACCTTTCTACAGGCCGTTTCACTGCCCCTGTGTCTGGCATCTACCAATTCTCGGCCAACGTGCACATTGGTGAGCGTGAGTCTGGGGGCAGGGGAAGGCAGAGCTGGTGGGGGGCCCTCTATGTACACGGGTGGGAGGGAGATACCAGGGCAGTCCTCTGGGCTTCTGGGGTCTAAAGAATCAGAGATGTGTACTGAGGAAGGCCAATGCTATGTGCCTAAAGATGAAGAAAAGTGAGTTTGGGGATCTTCTGAGGTTGGGAATTTTTTGTGGAGGTTAGAGGGATGGAGAGAGAAGATGGGTGGTTTTAGGTGCCATAAAGCACCTAATATGTGCCAGACAAGAGGCAGAGTGGCAACTGTAGGGGCCTCAGAGTCCAGAAGACCTGGGTTCAAGTCTTGCTTTGGTTATATGCTGACTGCCGAACCCTGGCCAAAGCTTAACCTCTCAGGGTCCCAGGTAATTCTTTAAGACCATATTTTAGAATAAAGGGGTTACCTGCCCCTGGTAGACACCTGCTGGGGCCCCTTCTAACTCTAGATCTTGCATCCTGTGTCCACAGAAGTAAATGCAGAGGGATTTTGGTGTGGGGCAGGGCGCTAGCAATGGGGTGGTGGGGAGGGGAGATCAGATAGAGTTCCTGTAGGAGAGAAGACTTGAGGAAGCCGGGAATTCTCAAGGCAGAGGTGGCTTCGTCCATGTGAGGAACTCCCCTCCATGGATGCAGGTTGGCAACTCATCTTGGGACTTGCCCAGAAGGTGTCAGAGGCAGGATTTGAACTCGAGTCTTCCTGACACCAAGGCCAGCTCTCTATGCTCCACGCTGCTTCTCTTAAAGAGATTGTCCGGTGTTTCTGAGGGGTTATCTGTCTTGTTGCTCTAATCCCTGCCTGTGGATCATGGAGAGTGGGTGGCATTTTTGAGACCCACCAAGGTGGGTAAAGGGAGTCAGTCAGGGCTGGGTTTGAGTGGGCTTTCTGTTCACCCCTGATGCTTTTCTCTAAGATCACAGCGAGCTGAAGAGCCGCGCCCAGCTGAGAGCCCGAGACAATGTCCGTGTGCTGATCTGTATTGAGTCCTTGTGTCACCAACACACGTACGTAACTGTGCTTTCATTCCTCAGGTTGGTCCTGGACTCCTCTGGCCTCCTACTTCCTTGGCTCTGCAGACTCCGAGGTGTCTCAGCAGAGTCGGGAATAGGGCCATCAGCACCTGGGAAGGAGGAAGTCCCAGGATGCCATGTTTTAGGAAAACCCGTTCTATGGCATGATACGGTCCCGAAAGGGAATCTCTCTTGGGTTGTTTGGGAGGAGAAGTGAAAGGGAAAAGGAAATCTCAGTGGCTCCTTTCCTATTACTCCATGGCTGGTATGGGACAGACAAGGACAATGAATGTGATTTATAGGGATTTCCCATCCTGACCTTGGCTTCTGATGCAATGCAATAATTATAAATGTAAAGTCTCCCTATAGGTTCAAACAATCAATCACACAAGCACAAGAGGAGGGAAGTGTGCTAGTCAACAATTGGTCTGAAAAAGATGTTGGGGTTTTGGTACAAGCTCAGTAAGAATCAAAAGTGTGATGGGACAGCCAAAAATAATGTCACCTTGGGTACGTTGAGAGGCATAGATTCTAGGATTTAGGTGTACCCTTTCCCGGGTCAGGTGGCATTGGGAATGACATGTTCAGTTCTGGGGACCACCTGTTAGGAAAGACATGGATGAGCAGGAGAATATTGAGAAGAGGGTCACCTAGATAGGAAAGGCCCTTGAGCGTGAGTATCAGCTGAAGGAAGGAGGGATGTTAAGTAGATGAAGAATGTGGTCACATCTGAATCTTCGAAAAGATTGGGCAGCCGTGTGGAGGGTGGATTGGAGAGAGGAGAAGATGGAGGCAGGGAAGGCAGTTAGGAGGTGGTTTCAATATCCAAGTGAAAAGTGAAGACAAGACTTGGGGACCTTGGGAATGGGATGGCTTCTTGTATTTGAAGGGCAGGGAGGTGAGCCTTGCCCTGCCAGGCCCCAGAGGATAGAGCCAGGAGCAGCGGGGGATGTCACAGAGGGCCTCATTTAGACTGAAAGGCAGCAGGTACAGCTTCCTAACCAGGAGCCCCCTCCCCAAGTGGAATGGTCTGCCTCAGGAGGTAGTGAGCTTCCTGCCACACTCCTACACCCTCCAGGTCCCCAAATGGAGTTAGGTTCTAGAGGGGATTTTTCTTCAGGTCCAGTTGGACTATTGGGGTGTCATCCAAGAGATCTCTCGATCCTGTCCCCACCTCCTCAGTTCTACTCTTAAGGGGGAGGCTGGCAGTAACATTCGGGGAAGCAAAAAAGACGATATGCCCCCTTGTGCCCCCGATGTCACAATGAAGAGGTCTCATCCCCCTCCTTCCAAGCACCCCTTCCGTCCTGCTTTGCTCCATGCCCCCCAGTCATCCAGAGCACAGAGGGACCTCTTCCTGGGGAAGTATTCGTAGTCCATGCGGGAAGCTTCTGGAGAGCAGGGGAAAGGATCATGAGGAATGTTAGGGAGGGAGGGGAGGAGGGAGAAGCAATGGCTTCGTGGTAGGAGAAGGCCCAGGCAGCTGCAGCAGCCCCAGCTGACCTGAAAGGCTCACACTGAGGTGCAGAGGCTGAGATGGGAGCTTCCTGACCGGCAAGAGAGCTTAGAATCCCCCCGGCTAAGGCGGGACATGACCGTGCCCTCGGGGACCCAGACCCAGAACCCCAGGCAGCGCTGCCCGGTGCCCGAGGGCGCCCCGCTGTCTCTGACGGCCTCTGCCGGCCTTGGCTCTAGGTCCCTGGAGGCGATCACCGGCCTGGAGAGTAACAGCAGGGCCTTCACGGTGCACATCCAGGGCCTTCTGCAGCTTCAGGTGATGCCTGGGGGCAGGGAAGGGGTCGAGGCCCCTGAGGGAAGGAGGGGGTGTCCAGAGGGAATGCCCAGCCCTGGTGGCTGCCAGGGCTTCTGGGCCCACCCCCCGTCTCTGGGAGGGAAAGGCGCTGCAGGGGAGGAGGCTGGCTTCTCTGGTGTTCGGGATGTCTGCGTCTCCTGATTTACTTCCCCTGCCCCGGGTGGGCGGGAGGTGGCTGCCTGCCCCCATCGGTCCCCGCCTGCCCCCATCGGTCCCCGCCTGCCCCCATCGGTCCCCAGCCCCCTCACGCCAGGCCGTCTGCGGCTCTGCTGGGCTGCGTTTGTGTGTTCCGTAGGCCGGTCAGTACACCTCCATCTTCGTGGACAACAGCGCCGGGGCCGCCCTCACCATCCAGAATGGCTCGGACTTCATGGGGCTGCTCGTGGGGCTGTGATCCAGAGGGGAGGCCAAGCAGCTCACAGCCGGGGCCGGTGGGGGGGCACGAGATCATGGGAGGAGGGGGGCGCCGGGCATGGGGGGAAAGGTCTCTCCTTTGGCCTCACCTCTTCTCCAGGGCCTGGGTCCTCCTTCCCTCCCCGCCCTCCATGTTCCCCCGAGCACACACACACACACACACCACACACCATAGACACACACAGACACACACACCACACACCAAACACCATAGACACACACAGACACACACACACCACACACCGTAGACACACACACACATACCACACACCATAGACACATACAGACACACACCATAGACACACCCATACCACACACATCACACACACACACCACACACCACAGACCCACACATGCCATACACACATCACACACGTATCACACACCATACACCACAGACACACACATGACACATACACATGCACACCTACACACATACATACACACCACAGACATACCTTGCGGGTCAGAGGTGGCTGCTTGTTCTTTTGTTCCTGTCTGTTCTTATTATACACTTTCCTGATAATAATTATTATGAAAATTATAATAATAAAGAATAAAAGGGTGGGAGCGGTCTGTTGCTGAATCTCCAGCCAGCCTGGTTCCAGGCGAGGTTCTCAGTGTTTGGGGGAGGGGCAGGAGCACCAGCCCTGGGAGCCTGGGGGCTGGGGGCGGGGGTAGCAGAAGCCTTGGGGTCTTCGGGTCACAGATGGAGAGCTGAGAGGGGCCTCAAAGACCCTTTAGTCCAACCCTCAAATTTTCCTGATGGGAAACTGATTCTCAGAGAGGTGAAGTGATTTCCTAAGGTCACGAGTGCAGCAAATGGACATTGGGATTTGAATCCAGGGCCCCTGACCCTGACCTGGGGCTCTTTCCGAGGTACCCAGGACTTTAGGGAAGGGGGTGAGGTGGTGTCTGGAAATGGCTGTGGCCTCGGTGCTGGCATGCTGTGTGTGGGGCACGGCCTGGACCCAGGGGGGCTGTTTGTCCCCGCTGGTCCTGGCTTTGTCCTTGGCCTCTGAATCTCCCCTCCCCCACCTCCAGGGCCCTCTCCAGTTCTGGGCCCTTCCTCTCCGGTTTTTCCGGGTTAGATGGAAACATCGACGTATTGCTCTCGGACTTTTTCACTGTGTTCTGTGACTCTGAATCCCTGGGGTTGGGGTGGGGCAGCAGTGGGGGAATCTGGGCTCCATGTGGGCTCCAGGTGCTATGAAGGCCCCTGTTCATTAGGGACCAGAGCCCATTCCTAAGGCCCAGGAGAATTTTCTCCTAAATTCCAAAAAGACGAAGAAAGGGACCCCCCCTCCCTGACCCCCATACTGGGTGAGAGTTTTCTCCCTGCCTCATGCCAATGGAATCTTGCCTGTGAAAGCCTGCTTCTTGCTCTCCTTCCCCCACCTTGTCCCCCAAGCCCTTTTGCACCCACACACGGGCACATACAGGTATATGGGTAAGTTGTACCAACACCCACATATTCTCCCTGCACACATGCATGCTCACACACTCAAAAATCGACATGCAAAGCTCCCTCTGAGGAAGCCTCAGGCCTTTGGGGGCCTCTGAGTGCAGAGACACTGAGGGTGTGACACGTGGGCCCAGAGAGGGATGAGCAGGCAGAGCGAAGGGGGGCAGGTGTGGCGTGGCTCAGCGCCAGCCTCAATTTCCTCTTCTGTGGGATGGAATGACCTCTAAGTTTTTATTAAGCACCTACTATGTGCTGGACACTGCTAAATGCTAAGGATACAGAGACAAAAATAAGAATGAATCCCTGCCTTCAGGAGTTTATATTATGCAAGGAAGGGAGGGATGAAATAGATTCACAGATAAGCATATACATGTATATGTGTGCGTGTTACAAAGTGATTGGGGGGGCAGTAACAACTAGGCATGTAGATCAGGAAAGACCTCTTATAGTTGGTGATGCTTAAATAGACTTGAGTCAATGAGAGAGAATTTCAGATATGGGGCACAGCCTAGGCAAAGGTGTGGAGGCTAGGAATTAAGGCTGGTTTGACTGGAACATAAAGTTTGAGATGTGGGATATGGGGCAGTCAGATGGGCAAGATTAATTAGAACTAGACCATGAAGGGTTTTAAGTGTCCACAGAGGAGCTGAGTAGCCTGGTCAGACTCTGGCTGATTCCTTTGGCAGCTGGGTGGAGGACCATGGCAGGGGAGAGGCTAGAGAGAAGGATCTGTGAGCATCTGTGTGAGAGTCTGGGGCCAAATAGTGAATGTGGAGGTTTGTTCTCCTGTTCCCTCCAGATTCCTGGGGGTTATTGTGCCCAGGTCTGCCCTGAGAATTTGGGGGGAACCAACCTAGCCTATTCTATATAAACTCACTGAGAGGTAGTAGCTGATAGGTGGCGTGGAGATTTTAAAAGAAAGCTAGAGAAAAAAGTGAGTACTTAGAACCTGTCCCATGGTCAGAAGCTCAGCATCATAGCAGACCCCCAAGGCCATTTGGTCCAGGATTTACTCAGAGACCTCCTTGGACGGGGAGCTCACCACCTCTCGAGGTGGGCAAGCTCCATGCCACTTTGGGGAGTTTTCCCTGACAAATCTGCCTCTTTGTACCCTCCTCCCACGGTCCTTAGCTTTGCCCTCTGAGGCTACTGTCTGAGTCACTCTCCTCTTCCATATAATACCTTTTCAATTACTTGAAGGCAGGCTTCAGGTCCCCCCAATTCAGGGGCTTCTTCAGGCTGAAAATCCACGCTTTCCTCCACAGATCCTCCAACGGCCTCATCTGTTACTGAGTCAAACTATTTCGACCTCCCCCATTTGGGAGGGGGTGCCCACTATTGAGCGAGGGCTCTGCCCACACTGGGAATGCCAAACACTGATGGAATCATAGATGCAGACCATCTTCCTACCTCCCAAAAAAAGGGGCAGTGCCTGGCAATGGTGACAGAAACAGCCCCAGCCCTCATTGGGCGTGGGGTGGGAGCACCATCTATCTCATAGACCGATTTTTTGGGGGGGCTATGCAATGGGGTTAAGTGACTTGCCCAGGGTCACACAGCTAGGAAGTGTCTGAGGCTGAATTTGAACACAGGTCTTCCTGGTTCCAGGCCCATTGTAGTACCCATCTGCTCCCTAACTGTAGGGAGGGAGGAGTTAGCTAAAGGCATTCCCAGTGCAGTTAGGCCTGAGGCCGTGACCAGGGGGCACAAGGGAGAGAGAGGGAACATCATTGGGATAGGAAGCTCTTCCCCAAGGTAACGGGGGCCCTGTCTTCTCTCTCTGACCCTGCCCTCTCATTCGAGGCCACAAATGCAGAGTTCTAGGCAGCTGGAGGAGGCTGGCCCGGGCTGATGCTGGGGCAGGGACCACGGAGAAGACCAGCGACCCCTGGGATCTAAGAGCTAGAACGGGAAGCAAACTCAGAGGTCAAAACCCCCATTTTACAGATGAGGACACTGAGACCCAAGGAGGGAAGCAACTTCATAGTCCTAGGAAGAGTTTTTTTGTGGGCACATAGCACATCTTGGTTGATTGCTTGCCCAAGGGCCCTCAGAGACAGGATTCAAACCCATGTCCTTTGACTCCAGAGGCAGTGACCTTCCGACTGTATCAGGTAGTGGAAAAAAGGCCTGGGTTGAGGCTGAGAGGAAGATGATGGTATTGGGTGAGGATTCTGGAGCTGAGCAGAAAGAAGGAGGGGTTGGGTTGGAGAAAGGAGTTTGGGCCCAGGGAGGGAAGTGGGGTTCAGGAGAGGCTGAGACTTAGTGGGGCAAGAGAAAGGTTGGAGCTGAGGATGGAGGAGGGGCTGGGGCTGGAGCCAGGAAGAGGAGGTGGGGGGGGCTGGGTGAGGAGAAGTCCTGGAGGGAATGGGGGAGTGGGGCAGAGAGAAACAGAGAGAGAGACAGAGACAGAAAGTCAGAGAGACGGAGACAGAGAAAGACAGAGACACAGAGAGACAGAGACAGAAAGAGAGATGGAGACAGAAAAACAGACAGAGACACAGAGAGAAAGACACACAGAGAGAGAATGACAGGGGGGAGGCAGGGAGAGAGACAGAGAGAGAGAAGGAGGGAGGGAGACAGAATGGGGGGAGGAAGGAAGACAGAGGAAAACAGAGAGACAGAAAAAGAATGAGAGAGACAGAGAGAATGAGAAAGAGGGAGGGAGGGAGAGAAAGAGTGTGTGTGTGTGTGTGTGTGTGTGTGTGTGTGTATGTGTGTGTTTTACATTTGGAGTCTAATAAAAAATATACTTTATAGCAACAGATTTTTCTAAAGGAATCTAAGCTGGACAGACGGTAGCTGCGAAGAGCTGTTGGCCAATAATGGAAAACCCAGGCTTGGGAGCTGGAGGAGGGCGCCCGTCTGTAACGAGGCGGGCTCTTAAAAGCGTTTAAGAGCTCTGGGTCAAAGAGGGAATGTGGAGATGAGCCAGGCCCAGAAGGGCCTGACTCACCCGTGCCCTAGGAAAGGTCAGGGGAGTGAGCCCTCCCCTGGGGCACAAAGGCAATCTCTTTCTTTCTAGCTATCTCTCTGCATCTCTCAGTCTCTCTGTTGTCTCCTGCCTGCATCTGTGTCTGTTTCTCCTAGTTAGTTTCTGTCTCTTTCTCTGTTTCTGTATGGGACCCTGTCTTCCTCTCCACCTCGCTCTTCCTCTTTTCTCTCTCTGTCCTTCCTTCTCCCTCTTTGTCCATCTCTCTCTGGTGCTGCGATCCCTGGAGGAGGAGGGAGCTTCTCCGGGCCCACCCTCTTCAGTTTAGCCAGGCTGCCTCCCTCCCATGGGCTCTTGTCGCTCCTTCCCTATGGAGGAGCTGAATTCAGGCACTGTCTCCTAAGAAGCTCGGGGTCACCCAGGGAAGGAGACTGGCTTGGCTTGTTCAGGCCCTGAATCCCTCATCTGAGCCTCTTCCCCCACCCCAATCCCAGCCTGGAATCCTGAAAAGGTTCTGAGGGGAGAAGCTCAGAACTGAAAGAAAGTTGAGGCTGGAACTTCTAAATTTATTTTATTTTTAATATTCATTTTTTTAAAGTTTTTGACTTCCA